TACCATATTGCATTAAATGAACATTTAATGCACTATGTATAAATAGAAGTGTTTATTCTCCATGCAGAGTCCGCGCAACTCACTCTCTAACCCTAATTCTTACTTTAAGCATTTTCTAGCTTAAGTAAAGGATCTTCTCTACAGCATTTATTTTCTTGTATTTGCTAAGATCTAGTGTGTAACTAAGTTTTGATAGGTTTTTATCACCTTATCTTTCCGCAAACAATCTTGTAAAATCTGTATTGATCTTCATTATCAATATATATATTTTAAATTTGAAAATATTGTGTTTGTATTCATCCCCCCATTTCTACAAGTGGTATCAGAGCAGTGTTTTCTCTCTCTCTTTCTGTTTAGCTGTTTTCAGTATTAGTTTATCTCTTTTTATAGATAACTCTACCGCTTACAAATAGCTTTACAAATTACAAACACACACACAAAAGATAATGGCTCTCTTGCCAAACCTCCCCGATTTGTCCGTGACAATTTTAGTCTCTGGAAAAATCGAATGTCCCTCTTTCTGGAAGGTGTGGAGCCTGAAATTCCACATTATATAGAAAATGGACCATATATTCCATTTGCTATTGCTCCGGCTATTCCCGCAACAGCTACGACTATCGTGATTCCTAAACGGCAGATTCCAAAGCTCCCATGTAAATGGAGCGATAAGGACAAGAAGAAAATAACTATAGACACGTGTGCTCGGTCTATAATAGCTATGTCTCTTCCTGATGAGATTTATCACTCAGTGATGAAACTCAAAACTTCTAAATCCATGTGGGACACACTTTGTGTCCAATATGAAGGAACCACTCAGGTTCAAAAGACCAGAAAGATCAATCTAGTAAGACAGTATGAAAGCTTTTTCTGTGAAAAGTCTGAGACGATGTCTGAAGTACATCAAAGATCTAACTGTCTTCTTATTGATCTTAGGGCTGTCGGCAGGGAATATTCTAATTCTAAAACTTTAACCAAGTTTCTAGAATGCCTTCCTGAGTCTTGGGACACCTTTTCCATGTGTCTCAAGATGTCAAATGACATGTCCATTCTTACTCTTTCTACTTTATATGGGATTCTGCTTAACCATGAGCAATCTCGTCAACTGAAGAGGAATATTGTAAAAGAGTCCAGGGAAATGAAAAGCTCTCATTTGGCTTTGATCTCTGAGGCTTCTTCAGTTGAAACTTCTTCCACCCCTTTTGTTTCTTCTCTTCCTCCCTTTGTTATCACGAAGATAGATTCTTCTATCTCTGAGGACATTCCAGAATCTGATTTAACAGATTTTGATGAGTCTCTGGCACTCCTGACTAAGTCATTTAGGAGGTTCGCCAGTAAGAGAAACTTCCGCAGATCTCCTCAGCTGTCCCTCAGGGAAAAGCCAAAGTCTGAAAGAATAGACAAGGCTTCAGCTGTCTGCTACAACTGTCACCGGCCCGGACACTTTGCAGGTGAATGCAGATCAAAGAAGACTACGATGCCATCTTCTAAAGCTCCTTCCTCTTTCAGGACCAAAGATGAGAAATACTCAAAACTGAAGGAGAAGTACAAGAAGATGAAGAACAACCAGTGAAAGGCTAAAGTCCTTATTGTTGAAGAGCATGACTGGGCTGAGTCATCCGATGAATCATCCTCGGATGAAGAGGATAAAGCCTACGTCTGCTTGATGGCCATAGATGCAGATGAAGGATCTTCAGAAGCGTCTACTTCCTCTGAGCCATCTTCTTCTTCTACTCAGGTATGTTTCCTGACTGAACCCTCTTCCTCTTCTAGTCTTTCTGCACTAGATACACTGACGCTTGACCTTTACAATGCCCTCAATGGCAAATCAAAAGTAAAAATGCTTAACGTTGATCTTCAAGAGCAATTGAAGATTTGTCATTCTAAGATCAAAGAATTGACCTCTGTCGAGGAAAATCTTAAAGATCAGGTTATTGTAAACCAAGCCATCACTGTTGAACGTGAGAAGGCTATCGCTGAGCATGAGCGAGCAATCGCTGAACTCAAAGTCGAGAAAGCTACCATTGAAGGGTGGTGCACAGCTTCCATCAAGGCCTCTGAGATCATTAACGCTCAGATCCCCGCCAAGATAATGACTGGTCTAGGATTCTCCTATGATCAGGAAGAATATGTTAAAGACAAGTCCATGCTCAAGTTTGGTACCTTCGTCTCTTCTATTTCCAACACTTCTTCCTCTCAGTCTTCCTCTTTTACTGAGAGTCATCTTGAAGGAACTCCTTCGAGTTCTGGATGCAAAGACAAAGGTAAATCCATTGTTACGGCATCTCTTCCCAAGAAGTCTAACAAGTCTAATAGATCTAGGTCTATTCCTTCAGCTTGTTAAGCTTCTTCCTCTTCAGGGACTAGGAAATCTGAATCCCATCAGAAATCCAAGTCACAGCTCAAGGTAAACTTTTCACCTAAGGAATCCAATTCCTCAAAGGTTCCTCCTAGAACCAATGAGAAGGGAATTTTTGGAGCTGGTCCCGCTTCTAGTCTGATATTTCCTAGCCCTAAAGCAACTCTCAGCTTTAGGAAGTGTAAACACTATGGTGAGAAAACACATATTGCCAGCAAGTGTCCTTCTGCCGCCAAAACTGGTTCGCCAGTTAAGGGCAAGAAAATAGCCAAGGCTGAAAAATCAACCAAAAATCATCCACAAA